ATTAATTTAACTTAATACGTCACTACGATTAAACCTACGTTTAAGTAACTTATTTTTCACTGAATTAAATGAAATTGACATATATATAATTCGTTACTTAGCTTATAATTAATAATCTCTCTAATTTATTACACTTAAAATGAACCAACTAATTCATACAAAAAATACGTTTTTCAAATTACATACCTTATGAGATGGGTATATTACATCCTTCAATTCTATCTGGAATTCTATTTGGAATAGATGGTGTGATTTTGTTGAATGAAGCGAAGACTGCATATATAAAACTTGTAGTCACGGACGTAGTCACGGATGTGTCCGTGACTACATATTTTTGTTGTCGGTGCACTTTAAATTTGGAACGCTGAAAAAATTAATTTTGTATCTTGTCACGGAATTAGTCACAGATACGTCCGTGACTAAAATTAGTCACGGAACTAGTCACGGAACCGTCCGTGACTAATTTCAAATTTAAAATAAACCTCGCCGGAGGCAAAATTGGGTTGGCCGGAACACGTTAGTCACGGACTACATCCGTGACGAACAATAGTCACGGACGTAGTCACGGACAAATCCGTGACTATTTTTTTTATAAACGATCCGTAACTAGAACCGTGACTAACTAGTCACGGACCAAATCCATGACTACAAGCGATTTTTTTTGTAGTGTCTGCCAAGTCCATCTGCTGGACCGTGCCAAATATGGGCCCCGATGGTCCCCATGTTTAGTGGGAAGTGGGCCGATCTGCTATCGGACCTATTATCCCAACATATTGATAGAAAGGAATATGTGTTGATTCATAACTCAAAAAAGCATTAGTCACGGTGAATTAGTTGTACTTTCACAAGGTTGTTTATGATCCTTTTTATGATGGATATGATATACGAAGAATTAGCAATCCATAATATGTACTCCCTCTATCCTTAAAATTTTGTCAAAGTTGATCAGCACGGAGAATAATAAAGTAAAAATTGTGTGATTGAAATTTGTGCAGAGGAGAGAGAAATAACAGAAATCACAAAATAATTGATTAAAAGGGAAAGTGATAAAATTTTTTGGACGTCCCAAAAAGGAAATATGGCAAAATTTTAAGGGACGGAGGGAGTATTATATATACATATAGTGCAGTTTTTTATTCATATGTGTGTAACGTACTTTGATCCTATTTTTTCTCTCGAATTCAATTATTATTCATTTAGAGTCATATTTAAGTTTGCTAATCATCTATTGTTAGCCAACTTCGATCGTTAGGGACTAGGGAGAGTGATCAGTTATGCATTGGTTTGCTCATATGTACAGTGGTGTATCCAGAATTTTCGGTGAGAGGAGCGAATTCGCACTAGAAATTTATTATCTCGGAAATGTCACATATAGTGAAACACATTAAAATTATAATTAAAAATAACAAAATATTTGTTTGACAAAAACATTATAATATCATACGTACTACTTGATAAATTTCACTCTATCAGCAACAAACAAATCACAAAATATTTATTTTATTTGAAATTATGTTAATAATCAAGAAATAATTACACACACACACATATATATATATATATATATATATATATGAATGAAATAAAGATTGTTTACAAAAATGTGACTAGTGACTAAATTAGTAACGGAAACATAGTAACTTATGTTCAATTTTTAAACTTAAGATATTAATTTATCATGACACTTAATTGTAGTAACTATTAGTCACATTTGTGTAAATAAGTTTTATTTTAATATTACCCCCGTCCTATAAAATTCTTCCCATTTTGACTTGGCACGAAGATTAAGAAAGTGGAATAAAGTGGAAATGTATGGTTGTGGTTGTGTAAGAAAAAAGTGAATGAATGTGAACCACACAAATTGTCCAAAAATGGTAAGTGAGGAGATTTTTTTGGGATGACCCAAAAAGAAAAGTGGAAAGAATTTTATGGGACGAGGGGAGTAATATTTTTGCAAAAACCTCATAAATCAATGAATCAAGTAAAAGAGGCATGTATTTATAATTAATTTAAGTTTTGCATATATAAGTATATGCAGAAAGTAGTTTAAATTCAATGCAAAAATGTCATTGTTAAACTTTACAAAATATATGTGAAACTAAAATTGTAACTACATTAAAGCATTTTTAAATCTTTAAAATTTAAACAATAAAAATAAAACAATTATGTATAACCACTTAAAATTCATTCTAAAGCTTAAAAAAAGGGTCAAAATGAAAAAAGTGAACAAAGTAGTAGATCAAGGATTCGAACCCTTTAGCAAAGGAATTACTATGGCACACACGGATTACTTGTACCTCTGGGCCAGCCGGAAGTTCTTTTATCTTCTACTTCCATAATTAGCATATAAGGTTTTTATATTCATCACAAAATTTGTATAATTGTAGATTAAATATATATGTATATATAGGGGTTGGGTGGGGGTTGAGTGGGGCAGCTGCCCCCTGCTCCCACGTTGGATCCGCCCCTGCATATGTAGTCCTACTTTTAGTGGTAGAGGAACTGAGGAAGTATGGAACATGATCTTCATCAGATTGACAACGTCATAAGAACTAAGAAGAAGATGAAATATAATCTAAGTTTGTCAAGTCACTTTTGGTATGTTTAACCGTAAGTTTGATTTGTGTCTAAACAATAGGAAGCTTTAATTCTTGAAAACCCCCGCGAGCGGCGAATCCCTAGCGTGCGGCAAAGGTTGGTGGCTTACGTGCTCCTGAGAGTTCATTGGCACTGTGGCAGACCTTGCGACAGGCTTCTGGGACCTTGTCTGAGAGTCGACTGTGCATGTAGTCCGCGATCAATGATGGACGAACCATAGAGTGCGGTGGAAATCTGATCTGCCTAGAAGAGTGCAGCGGATAACCGTCTCTTCTTATTCCATCTCAACAACGAACGTGAATGGTATTTGAGGTAGTTTTGGCGATCTCTTTTCAGGTCTTATCATCGCTTGAGATTTCTTTTGTAACTATTTTATGCTCATTTTTGTTTCGTCCGGCTGAGTTTTTCTTTGATCGAGAGTTTGGTTCGTTCCAATTGTGAACGTGTTTGTGCTTTTGTTCGTTAATTATGTCGGTTCTTTTTCTGTGTCTCGAATCCTGCGTTTATTTTGTTGACTATCAATGGAGAGCTTAAATCAAACTTACGAATGAATGTCAATGGACGAGGTTGATGACAAGGGATCAAAAAATGGCAAAACGGTCCAAAACATGTTACAAAATTCAATTACAAATTCGGATATTAACCTATATAAACCTAGTTGTGGGGTGTAAAATATTTAAAAAATATTCTATTGTTGAGATAGTAGGATGTAAGCTCAAAGAATTTAACAAATAACATCCAAAACCAAGTTTTAGATAAATATATGATGCAAATTCAAATTCCACCAAAATATAAACATTAATTAAACATATAAATACACCTGTTGTTATACCGTGGAAGCAGCCCACCGTGAGCATGCTGCTCTCACATGAAAAATTCACGCGTTACTGTTCACGCCCGTGGACTGTAACCTTTTTTTTGTTTTTTCATTGTCAAGGAGCAGAATGATGTAACTCGCGTGTAAAGAAATGTAACTCACGCTGATAAAAAATGTAACTGCAGGTAGGTCGAAATGTAACTTGTTTAATACGGATAATCATAAATAAAATATTGATTTCAATGAAAACAATGAGTCTAATTGCTCAATTACTTTACCTAAATAGTGAATGTGTTTTGTTTTTAATATTAAGACCATAAAAAATGTTGCTTAAAAAATATTTTTTGCTAAAAAATCATTTCTTACCACAAAAAGTGATTGTTTTACTAAAAATATCTTCTTCTTTTTGCAAAACAAGATTTTTTTTTGCACTTGATTATTTTGTGATGTAACAATATGTTAAGGCAAGTCCAAATATAACTCACGTATAAAAATATGTAACTCACGTGTAAAAAAGTTGTAACTCGCCCATAAGAAGATGTAACTTCATATATATTATCACATGTAAACAATGAAAATAAGGAATCTAATTGCTCAATTAATTAAAGTAAACTATTAATATATATGTTTTGTTTTTAGTATTAAGGCCATAAAAATGTTTTAAATGAAAACAATATTTTTTGTCAAAAAAACAATTTTTAGCCAAAAAAACTTTTTTGTTTGCAAAAAATTGATTTTTTTTGTTTAAATAGTAGGGCTTTATTTTGTGATGTAACTCATGTTATGGAAAATGTAACTCGCATTAATGGAAAATCTAACTTAGAAATATTGATTTCAATGCAAAAATATTGTGTTGTGTAACTCTCATTATATTGTGATGTAACACGCATATTGAAAAATGTAAATCAAATGTAAACAAGATCTATCTCGCTTAGAAAAATTGACATGTAACTCACATGTAAACAAGATCTATCTTGCTTAGAAAAATTGACATTAACTCACGGCATAAGATATGTAACTTTAGACAAATCATTATGTGACCGGAGTGTGCGCAAGATGTAAGTTGAGGAAGGTCTAAAACAGTTTATAGCAGTCATCTTCAACATGTAAATTTTCCAATACTGTATAAAATTTACAAACAATATTAATTGATCTAGATGCTGAATTTTCAAACAATATTAATTTATAAAATTAGTTGTTCTAAGCCATATTCCATATATACGATAGTATATACATATGCATACACTACTCCAAAACCGGCTCAATCCTCAGTTCCAGGTCGTTGATGGTAAGAGGGAGCGAAAGCAGAAGAGTCAAAGCCGTCACGCCTAGCAACCACAGCGCTAGAGAAAAGGGAGATCGTCTGGGAAGGAACCAGACCGCCGAAGCCGCATAGTCTATTTTAACACTTGAGCAACAACGAAATCGGCAACAAATTTAACGGAACAAGAGTTTCTGCTCTTTTAATTAACAATAGTACGTAATTTTGGGATCGACACATCATGCTCATAGAACCAGAACCGGGTGGATCCCACCGAATAAATTGCGTAACTACACCCTAAAGAATCCTTATCCTTGTGATAGAAGGAGATTCCCTTTTATTAGTAACGGTGTAACGGATAGTTTCCCTTTCATCTTTCAAAATCATTACCCCTCCAGGAATAGCATCCCTAACGATCGATCCTCACCTCCTTTCTTCATCTTCATCGCTCCCCAAGACACTAAGAACTTCTTTTATCGATCTTTCTCGCTCTTCTCGTATAATTGAGTCCGAATCCTGGATTTGAATCGACAAGCGCGCTGCGTATCACATTTAGTTACTGTGAATTCAACAACAAAAATCTCGGGCATAGATTGTCAGTTCCGGTTCGACCTTCTTCCGGAAAATGGATTTGGGTTGTTTTGAAAGTTGCATCGAAAAGAAGAGAGGCTTTAGCAATCAGACTCTGTCTCATTCCGAATCCTGCAGCCCTACGGCCTCTTTACCATCCATTTCCAAACTTGGCAAGGTAAGAAATTCCATTTTATCTTCATTTTTTACCAACATCTTTGTTTGTTTTGCAATTTCATTACTCCCTATTGATTACGCGCCGGCAGAAATTATCTTGAGTATCTATTAATTAGACTTCTAGAAACTAAGAAAGTCTGATGCCAAGGAGCTAGGGTTTAGGAGCCGGGATTGGGACAGGGATTCCATGTATGTGAGTGACGATATCTAGAGAAGTAAACCCTATTACCTTAATAAATACGAAGTAAATATTTTTTCAGTAACCAACTACTCCGTAATAGATTGCTTGTCCTTGGGAATTTGAGTCAAATGGTTCATCATATAATGACAATGTCTGGTTATACTCCGTAATAGATTGCTTATCCTTGGGAATTTGAGTCAAATGATTCATCATATAATGACAATGTCTGGTTATACTCCGTAATAGATTGCTTATCCTTGAGAATTTGAGTCAAATGATTCATCATATAATGACAATTGTGCCATTTTCATCAAGATTTAGTGTTAGTGTCTAGTATACAAGGGTATGGTATAACCGGGGAAATTAACTAGTCAAAGATGTTTTCAGTCCCAGATCAGACTTGAACAGTTATAAAATACATAGAGTCAAGTACCAGACCAGACCGGTCAGACCAGATCAGACCAGAACAGAACATGCAGTCAAGTAAAAACATCCTAAGTAGTACTATTGTATATAATAGGTGTTGTTTAGATACTACGTAGTCCGTACCCCAAAACAATAGTCTGGCTGAATAAAAGACACTAGTTTTACCCTTTTCGCAGTAAAATATGCATCAAACAAGTTAAGTGTATTTCATTGAGTTCAAACAGCATACACATGGAATGATATAGCTAGAAGCCTAGAATCGATGATTTACTATATTTGTAATATACTCCGTACTAAAATTAAATAGTTGTAGCTTTGTGAAACAAAACTCTATTTGTTTAGACATAGGTAGTAAAAGCTACCGCGTATAGGATCTTTTGTCAATTATAGAGTTTGGTAGTGTTAAAGAAACTCTAAGTTTAAGAGTTATCATATATTCATATGCTCTATTCACGTTTCCTCTTGGTACAGTGTGAGAGAGAAGGACTCAATACCCTACTTTTTAGCAATGATTGCATACCTTTTTTTTGCTTTTGGATTTGTGTAGAATAAGACTATGAAAGAAGGTATATATGCAAGCTTGGTTTCTTTAAACAAAAATGCATCACAAATCAGGAAGCCTCCACATAGGAAAGCCCCTCCTCTGAATTGGTTCCCTCGACAAAAGGTTGATTCTTATTTGAAGAGGAAGTTAAAATTACTCCAGGTAAGTACTATGTTCTGATATTCGTTCTCCATCATATTTCTCCACTCTGTGTTAATACAGTGTAGCATGGTTGACACTAACACAAACAATATGCAGGAAGTAGATGGCATGAATTCAACACTAGATGAAACTTTGGGTGATTCTAACCCTCATTATTCAAGAGTGTTGAGAGAAAAAATTGCAGTAAGGGAGGCTGCAGAGAAAGCAATGGAGGCTCGCAAGGCTGCCATGGTTGAGGCATCTTGGTGTAGAATTCTTAAGGCAGCCAGGTAGCCCTTTTTGTTTTCAGAGTTAATTAATTACATCAACCTGTTCCAAGGTTTGGTCAAACCACCAAATGATCCATGATGCTTCAAAAAGTTATGAATTTACACTCCTCGTCATTCAACTATTCGGCAAGTAACAACGTAAGACATTAGAATACTACTTGTATGATCCGTAAGACATTAGAATACTACTTGTATGATTTTAGTGGGAATTTATGGTATTTTAGGACTAAATAATTTTTAAAAAATGTTCCAACTTCCAAATATATTGTTTTTAATAAAATGTAGACTTGCTCCCATAAGACACAAAAAAACTCAGGGTGGTAATTAATGTTTTCTTAGAATACTACTTGTCTACTTGTATGATTTTAGTGGGAATTTATGGTATTTTAGGACTAAATAATTTTTAAAAAATGTTCCAACTTCCAAATATATTGTTCTTAATAAAATGTAGACTTGCTCCCATAAGACACAAAAAAACTCAGGGTGGTAATTAATGTTTTCTTAGAGCTGACATACTAAAATGCTTTCTTGAATTTATAAAGTATCCTCAATCTTTATATGTACAGAATTGATACTAAACAAGCAGAAGAGCGTTTGATGAAGGCCGAGAAAACTTCAGAAGAAGCTTTTGAAGCTGCTACTGCAATTGGAGTGATATTATATGACACTCCAGAAGCTTCCCAGAAACACTATAACATTGAAATATCAGCCGAAAAGGCAGGAGGGTCTGCCATGCACACTGTTAGAACATCTTTTGAGACTGCATTTGAGGTGGATAAACAAGTAGCTTTTGCGGTAAAGTCTGCCCTTATCAACCTTGCAAATTGCCCTTCCACAAATAAAGATGAATTTAAGGAACTTCTGCGAAAAATCAGTCAAAACCCTGATACAGATGAAAATAGTCAAGAATTTTCTTCAGAATATGATTCTGATAATGCATCTGAGTTGGAGTTTAAGAAGAGGGAGGTTTCTCACAAGTTTAGGATGACAAAGATTGTAGAAATGATGATGGAAAGACTGAGGTGTTTAGAAGAAGATGACCTTGCATCTCTTGCTACTATAGTTGCAACTTGTGGGTTAAATGCTGCTCTCGAAGAGGCTGGAAACCAGAAACTGCATAGCAAACTGGAACCAGTATTTCATCAGAAATCAAACCCGGAACCACTTCAAAATGTGGGTGAGACCCCACTTCCAGGCCTGGACAAGTTTTTGGTAAAGCGGATGACAAGGCTGGAAAGGGAGGTTCTAGAAGCCAAAATGACAAACAGGAAAGTAGAGAGTGAAGGTAAAAGATGCCCACCTCCTTATGCTAATTCTTCCCATTCAAGCCAAAATTATTCGGATCTTGGAAGTTCTCTTCTAAAGCCTATTTCAAAACTTGAGAAGGAAATTGAAGAAGCAAAAAAGCACTCAGACTCATTAATTGGAAGCATGAGTAAGCCTTCACATAGAAAACAAGATTTAATGGATGAGATTCCCAGCCTAGACAAGTTCCTAGTGAAGCATGTGTCAAAACTTGAAAAAGAGGTGCAAGAAGCAAAAAACAGAAATAAGAACAGTGACACTTCTTCTGCATGTGGTAGAGGTGCAGGACTGGGGAAAGAAAACATTGAGCAGAACAAGAACATAGTAGATGCAGAACTTGAAGGAAGTAGTAAAGTGTCCCTGGACAAGGTTTTAGTGAAACCAATTCACCGTCTGGAGAAGATGAAAATGCAAGATGAATCGTCTTCATCAATAGCTGGTGGTGTCCCGGTGAGATCTCAGAGGAGAAAGGTCAATTGTGATGATGACAATGGGCTGGATAAAATACTTGTGAAGCATGTGTCCAAGTTGGAGAAGGAGAAGTTGGCAGCGGCTCTGGAAGTAGTAGAGAAGGAAAAGGTGACAAGTGTGAGAAGGAAGGGAGTGGTACTGAGCAATGAAGAGGGTAGTAGTTTGGATCAGGTGTTGGTGAGGAGGGATAATATATGTAGTAGTAAATTAGAGGGGGGAAAGATAGAAGAACTCCAACAAGAAGGAAATGATGAACAAATTATCAGTAGGCATTCAGTTTCTAGGAGAGAAGCTAGGGAGAGAGAGATGCAACAAGCATGGGGAGGATTAAGTCTTGGTAATTCCATCCGTCCTCATCTCTCCAGGCTTCAGAGGGATAAGGCAAGTTGTTGTTGTTATTATTATTATTACTACTATTATTATTATTATTATTATTATTATTATTATTATTATTATTATTATTACTACTACTACTATGACAGTAATGATGATGATCATTCTTTTAATTGTTCCATGTGTCGATAAATTTTATTGGCGTTTTTGTCAGGCTGCTTGGATGGAAGCTGAAGAAAAAGAAAGGAGAAAAGCAGCCACAGAGGTGTGAAATTGAAAGCGCATTTGACTTTTAGGATGCATAGTTGAGGTGACGCTTTACCGATGTTTGATCGCCTCTGGTCCAACAGATTACTAACTCTGTCTACTTACACAATGAGAAGAAGAAGAAGATTGGAGTGTCATTTACTCTATTCTATGGTGTATTTTTTGGTAAAAAGTTACAGGTTAAAGGTTTACCCTTCCACATTTGGTTAAAAGATCTATGAACTAATGCAGCACTCTATTACAAATAATATCGATTGTAATGCGTTATGGAGTAGATACTTATACAGGTGTTTGCAGACAACATTGAGTCCTAAGAGTGGAGCGACGTATTCTCTCACAACCTGAAGCAATGAACCATAACTCCTTTAAACTTCAAGGCATGAAAGAGCTCCATAATCAACTACTTTTGGTCTTTTGGAGGGGAAAACATACTTTTAAAATAATGGTGAATTTACAAAATGATCGACAAATCAGCAGTGTTTTAAAAATGCAAGAAGTGATAAAGGTGTCTTTAAGTCCTGACATCAAGCTTTGAGAATCTAGACACTAGAAGCAAGAATGTGATTTGAATTTTAGAAATTAGTTCAAATAGGACTAAAACTATGGCAAAAACCTAAAATAGGACTTGTTATGTTTTTATTCCAAAATAGGACCATATGAGTCCTATTGGAAACATACCTATTTTTGCATTCCATTCTTACCCTTCCATTAAATATGAATTAAAAATAGTCAAAAGCCATAATTAAATGTTTAATTCATAATAAATTCGAAAAAATTTCAAAAATTCGTAGAAATATAATTAAAAAATTTATAAAATTTTTATAAAATAAAAAATTCAAAAACTTTTTTTTTTTAAAAATAATTTTATTTTTAAAAAAATTAATAAAAAATAGTAAAACTCCGTAAAAAAAATTTAAAAAAATATGGATGCCTTTCCCACCGCCTGTACTACCTCCCAGCACCACCACCTCCGGCCGATGAAAAAAATGCCATTTTCCCAGAAAAATACCATTTTTTTCTGAAAATGCTAAAAAAGTGGCATATTTCTCTTTTCGAATGCCAACATTTTCATTTTTTTCTGCCATAAATATGGCATTCGTAATGAACTTGACATTTTTTCCCCCTGGTGACTGGAGGTGGTGGTGCTGAGGCAGCAGAGGCGGCGACGATTTTTTTTTTTTTGAGTTTTTATTTATTTATTTTTTTAATTTTTTTAATTTTTTGAAAAAAACATAATTAAATTTTTAGTATCGAATTGTTTTTCTTAATTTTTTTAGTATTTTTTACGAATTATTATTATTTTTTATTATTTTATTAGGAATTAAAACATTTTAATAGCTATAAGGGTATAATTGTCCAAGGTACACATAATTAGTCCTATGCAAACATAGTTTATTTTTTGGTCCTATTTGTGAAAAGTGAATGACTTTTAGTCCTATTTTGATAATTAACTCTTTGAATTTTTGTGCGGAATAATATTGACTATTTTATCATGATTTCTAAGATGAAATATAATTATAGACAAAAAAAAGAACCGCCTAAAAGAAATAATACACAATTACACATACATGCATAGTTTTTTTTTTTACTTTGTCGACTCAAAAGTACAAAAATTGGAAATGCGCAATTATCTTTGTTACTTCTTGCTACTCCATAGTACATTACATATGTAACATATTTACGTAAGTGAAATTAATTTGAAATTTAATCTATCTTTTTTGTTTTAAAAAATGGTCTCTAAACAAGTAGCCTTTTCATTCAAAGATGTGGTACATTTTCTACCAAAAACCCACATTCTTCGTGGTTTACATATCAATTTCGGTTCGGGTTTTAATGGTTTTTGATTGAGTTCAATTTGAAACGAGTCGAAAGAATATTACCACATAAAAATGATACTAAGTATTATGTTTCAATTTAGTTGTACTCAACCTTGTTCAGTTCATTTCAATTTGGATTTGTTATTGTTTTTAAAATATATTGAAAATTTATTGAATATTTTAGTACGGTTCATTTTTTTCTGTTTTTCATGGTTTAAATTCGATTTCATTTACTTCAGTTTAGAAAAAGTACTACTAAATTCAAATCAAATTCAATCCCCGCCCCTAATAATCTCCATAATCTGATCAAGCAGCCATTGCAGTTCAAGAAGTTCAGTCAGCAGCAGCCTTGTGAAAATCAAGTTGTTTAAAAATTTAGCACAACCATTGAAATGAAGGGATGAGCAATGTATCAAAATCTGACCACCTTGCAGACATTTTTAGCTTAAAACATATAAGCAGCATTGCAGAATACATGAACCATAAATGTCTAACAACTTTTATTTCAGCACATCCCAGCTCAATCCCTCAAATCAAGGTCAAAATGTCAAATAGATCAGTTTCCAGAGCTGGAAGTCTCGGGCTTGTTATACCAGCTGCAGATACTCATTACTGGGGAGGGGAGGAGATTCTCCGAATTTCAGCACATATGCAGTCATATGAGCAATCCGCAGCGCTGGAATGGCCGGTGCATCCAAATATGCATCGCATGAGAAACACCACACTGATAAATCACTGCATTCAAATCCAGATCGCACCCAAATTCACATCGAATGTGTCCGAAGTAAGTTGAACCGATCCATTGAAATGATTATCCAGGTTTATGTATATACCTGAAGCTAAGCGCTATGGGATGGTTCGTCCGTTGATGGTGCTCGACCATGTGCTTGTTCACGAATCTGCTGCAGAACACTTCCTTGCAGCTCAAGCATAGCCAGTTCTCCCTCGGATGTTGGCACCTGCAACGAAATTCCATTGAATTTCATTGATTGATAGATTACCTAGGGTTAGAGAAACCAGGGTGAGGTTTAGAAAGACAGACTCGTTGCAGGGAGTGACGGGGATGGGGATGTGAGCCAGGTCAGAGGATAATGAAGCGAGGTGATCGCAGTGAGTTCGGGGCTCAACCCAACCCGATTCGAACCCATCCATCATCAGGTCTTCGTCTTCGTAGATAACGGGAACTGAAGCCGACGATGATGAAGCCATCCACCGTTCCGGTTCTTACGCTGAAGCCTGGGATTGGTTTGGTTACCAAAAAGTATGAGTATACTGTATGAAAAGGGGATTGCTAGACGCACCTCCAGATTGCTAAACGTAATCTTACCTAGACCATTTTACCCTTTTATATTTTTAAGAAAAGTTTCTATTCGGACCATATAATTATTCTTCAAAACTAAAAACCAACCCCATTACGTTGCCACTTTTTATAATTTTGTTTCATGACTAAATTTAAATTGAAGTGTAAATATCAATTTTTTAAATGTGTCGAAAAATTATTTTTTATAAAATGATATACAACTTAATATTTTCATTTCTTCCCCAATTTTGACAAAAATGTATTGAATTTAATAATATTTATTGATCTTTCATATGGTATAGATATTGTATTTATAAAATTTTGAAAAAAAAATCTTTTTATACTCATTTATATATATATACACACACACATATTATCTCTATTTTATACGTAGTATTTTTTTCTGTTTACCATATCTTACATTTTTATCGTTCTTATCTTTATGTTCGTTTTGGCTTCGAAGTCAAATATTGATACATGTTAGCTGACCCAAAAAATTGACACTAAGACTTGGAGGTTGTTGTATTTAATTTTTTTATTAGATATTTTTTATGTTATAGGGTTTTCCTTAAATCTTACTATCTCCGTCCAGCTAACATTGAGACATGAGAAAGTGACACGTACAGTTACTAAGAAAAGTAGATTTAATTACGTGGTTGATATGGAATTGATAAAGTAAGAATAAAATAAGAATGATTTAGAATAACGCAAACTTTATCTAATCTGATATTAGACAATCTAAATGACATTCACATGTGAAATCATCGATATAAAATATTTGATCTTAATGTGGAATCAACATGGTGTTGATTGAGTTTTAAAAGATGAGACCCCCCCCCCCCCCCCCCCCCGCGCCTTTTGAAGTGCTCATTGCACTATACAAATTTAAACTTGATCTCAAAGTTATTAACTTATAAGAAGACATAATTGAAATTTGAAGTATACTTATTATTTTGACAAAAATTCATTTACTAGGAGAGATTAATTCATAATTATATTACTAATAAAGATGTTTTTAATTGGATTCAAATTTTCTGGTCTGATCTGATCGTATATGAATTGATCGGGGCTTAGTATGTTTAAGTTTGATCTAGCTTTTCTGGTCTAATCTGCTCTAATCTGTTAGACGTTTATTCTGCGTGTTATACAACCGTCAAAATCTAGTTAGATCTAGTCTATATACATCTAGTTTGGCCTGAGATTCCTGAATTATTTATATGATAATAGAATAAAGACAATATTCAATAAAAAGATGAATGAAACAGATCAAAAAGAAAAACCGAAATACAACTAGTGAGAAAGATGAATGGATTCGTACGTAGTATGAATTAAGATAAATAAATATCTTGCTAGTCTGTAACTCAAGATTACTACTTCGTACTTTTAGATCATCTTCATATTCATCACCCGTTGCAAAAAATATCGTAAAAGAATTATAAAAGCATTACAATGTGTTACAAATATTTGTTTAATAATTGTTTGAAGGTAGTTAGAATTCTTAATCCTGGTTATATTTAGATTTTGAATATATTTTAAAGATAATCATTTTTTAAAAATAAAATTTAAACAAGTTTTAAAGAAATATAAAAAACCTACTCGTATTTTTTTAATTTAAAAAGCAATACCAAAAGTTTGGTAAACTTTAGTGTGGTACGCACTTCGATAAGCTGCCTTCGGTAGAGAGTTCAACTTGATCCAAAAAAGGTGGAATCTCCCACCCCAGGAGTCCCTCATACCCCGACCCGACAGGATTTTTGGGAGATTGTTAATCACGGTGACTCAGTCGGTCCAATGATGGTAGGCTTTTTTCCCGTGCGCACCAGAGGTCCAGCCTTATTTCAGGTTATGTGACCTCCACACGGTCGCTGCGGATTCGATCCTTGGTCACTTGATCCAAATTTCACACCACTGAACCAACTGAGCTACCCGTGCGGATATTATAGAGAGTTCAACAAATATGGGGTGCGGTACGTAAATATGAGAGTTCAAATTTTTATGAGGACAAAATTGTCCAACAAAGGGGAAAAAAGGGTGCGCATAGTAAATATTGGGGTGCGGGAAGGAGGTCCGTATGAAAATCGGCCGTTTAACCTCCTAAAAGTAGCCCAAAATTCTACATAGACTTCAGCCCGCCCAGCACGCCCGCACAAATGGGCGGACTTGAGCATATATATTTACCCACCGGGCAGGCACGGTCCGGCCCGCAATAA